CGGTTCAGAAATAAAAATTTCTATTCGGAACATACGTACATACAGACAGACAGACTTACATACAGACATACAAACAGACATTCAGCTTTATATATAAGATGAAGTGGCCAAATGTTATATTTGGCCTATTTTAATCTCGCAGAACATGAAATAGTAAACAGTTCAGGTATGAGTCATTTCGACTTTTTCTCTTATTTCTAAAGGTCAATAAAATTTTTCTCTTTTGACAAAATTTTGAGGTGGAAAGTGGGCCCAAAAAATCTTGAGAAGAATCACAAAGATATTATCGAAGTGCGTGGTCAACGCAACGCATCTTTGCTCAAAAATTTTTGTCGCTCCTCTTCGGTGGAATCCTGGGACCCATTGGTTTATGCGTACACAGGGTGCGGCAAAAGTCTGGGCGCCGAATTTGCAGTGTTTTAAACCACTGATAATTTTGATCTAAATTTATGCCAAATAATGCTGCGATTATCCTCTACAAAACACACTCGCTGCAATGCGGGTTTTATTGGTAAGAGTCGGAATTATCAAACGAGTGCTTTTGCAGAGCGCGAAAATAAAAACTTCCAGTATTTATGATTTTTCCGCAGCTAAGGATACTGTTGATATTCTACAAATTTTGAACAAACAAACAAATGTAGAGGAGGCTTTGAGCTATCACATTGTAACTGTTTCGTCTATCAGAAACTACTCATTCGAAAAAATATAGAAAATTGCGAGTGCTAAGTGCTTGCCAGTGGTTATCTGTTTTTCACCAATTTGAAAACTATAGAAGCGCAGCAGGCAGTGAGCTTTAGGTCTATACTCTTTGCATAAGTTTCGCGTATAAGCTTCTCTTTGAATTCTGCCGATTAAACAGTTTCAATACTTTTTACATTATGATTTTCGTTTCTCGCGCAGTCGCATTCAAGCTTCCAGTATGCGCGTGCAGTTGCCTTCACTTAAAGTTCTAAAATTCTTTCCAAAACATTGCAAAAAAACTTTTCTTAATATATTGTAGCCTAAAGAAAGCTTGCTCTGTTATACTGCACACTTGCTTTTGTGAAAGAGGCAGTCATGTTAAAGGCGTGGGACTAATTTCATTACGACTGCATGCGTGCCACGGCGTGGACCACCCAACATTTTGAAGGGCTGCTCTGAAGCCAAAAGAGGCAATCTTAAATTTGAGGGCCGCGCTGTACATATTTGCAAGGGTGCGAGTTATGTGTGCACCTAATGATTTACCTTTAAGACTTTCCTTCTTCATGTGATAAAGTTCTATGTTCCCAGACTTTTGAAGCATCCTATGTACGGGATATGCACATATCAAGGGCAGTTCCAAGATTTCTTCTCGGAGCACATTTTTTTTCTCCAGTGGTGGTAGCTAAGCCTTTCGAAGGATACAAGGCTAATCTGAATTCGTGAGAAATTTTAGAAATCAATGCAATTATTTAGAAATAGGAGCAGGGCATTTGCATATAAATATCTATAACTCATGTGTCGTCGTGTCATTCAAATATTTCGCGACTCATTTTCGGTGGGAGAAGAGGGATCTCCTCTGCTCCCACTCGGGTCCGCTATGGTATCCCAACAATGCTGTTCGGTAAAATGGATGCTTTTGCCATCCCCTTCGCATCGGACGTGCTGGTGAGTTTCTTTGCTGAAAATGGCTCTTGACAGTGCGTGCACATGGCCCCATCTGCACCTCACCACCGACTTGCACTGTTTGCAGGCTTGTAGCTCGTCCAGCAGTCACTCTACGAGCCTGCAGCTAGGCTCATTCGAAAGAGCGTGACATCATGGACACGATGGTATGCAAATGAGTTGAGTTCGGGAAATCCAAGAGAATTTACGGATGAGTTGCAAAAGAGCAGCCTTAAAGGTGATTGGAGTAAAGCTCTCATCAACATCACAACAGTCTTGGAGCTTCGAAATGGGTCTATTACGAGAAAATTGACAGTTTCAAACTTCTAGGATGAAAGTGGTAGCGAAGGAGCTCTATTCAACTTTAGTTGAAAAATCCTTAGCCTACCACTGAAGCTGTGCTTTTCTACCCCATCCGCAAATTCTCTTAGATTTCCCGAACTCAACTTATTTGCACGCCATCGTGTCGTGAAAGTCACGCTCCGAATGAGCCTCGTTGCAGGCTCGTAGAGTGACTGCCGGCCGAGCTACAAGCCTGCAAATGGTGCAACGTTCAGTGGTGAGATGCAGGTGGGGTCATGTGCACGCACTATCAAAAGCTATTTTCAGCAAAGAAACTCACCAGCACACGTCCGATGAATAGAGGATGGCAAAGAGCAATTTTATCCGAATAGCTTTGTTAAAGACAGTGGATCGGCAAAACTTGACAACCCAGGATCTTAACGCAGTAGGTTCCTTATCGTCAAAGTATGAAAACAGTGCAATCCCGATTTTACAGCATGCCTTCCCTGTCGAGAAAATCGCTCTCAAATTTACACACGCAAGCCAATCTTACACGCACCCGGACGAGTTGGCAACTTCCTTCTCACGTTGGAGGCTGCCCGTCCCAATGCTATAATCATTGGGTCCCGCAACGATTCGGCGTCATCAGCCTTGCTCCACTCGTCCAATTTTGAAGCGAAGGGAATTGAAAAACGCTCGTTCGTTTTCCGGCTCTCTGAAGTGGATTTTCGTGATCAGCGTATTGAGTAACCCCAAGTAAGCGAAAATTTGACTAGGTTGAGATGCCGAGCCACTGCCTTTAAGTTGCCTTGAAAAGCTTTCCATGTAAATAAATTTGGCTTGAAGAAGGCAACTGAAAATTTTCAAAAAAATACGAAATAAAATTCAAGCTTGGGTTTTTCTGGAAGTAATCACTACCTGATCACCTCGATGAGCTCTATAATACAGTCTGCTTCTCTGCCAGGAAAACTTCGGTTTTTGCTTCAAACAAAGACCTAAAGGAACCTGCGTTTGAAGAGTTGTCCGCGACAATATGAAGCGGCCATTTTCGGACCTTATTTAGAAAAAAGTTTTTAGAATACATATTTTCCACAAAACGCAATGTGTGAGTAGTAGTTCTTGTAGAGCTCTATCATTTCACGCAACTCGATCATTTTTTTCATCTTTGTTTTCCATCTGAAAATGAGCGATGAAGAAATCTGAAAGGAAGGCGGCTTGTCCGCAACTTTTTGGCGGTCACCATATATAATAGGATATCCCATAAGTTTTTTCATACCTGACTTTTCAGCGACGTAAATGAGTTCTTCTTGAACTCCTGATAGAATGCGAGTACCATTCGACAGATCAAAGCAAGCTCTACAAGAAGTCCTTCAAAAGTTCGCACCAAGCTTAATCCGCAACAAGTTCCAAGCCAAAATGATATACATGAAAATTTCCAAATTTTCGGGAAAACGAAGATCACCATGTCTCAATTCAAAAAATTTCGCAAATTTCCCACTTTCTCATGCAGAGACCCCCTCATCGGATATTCATACACTTGCTGCATTTTTCTGATGGCTAGAAACCGAGAAAAAATAATGCTCAACTTTCAAACCTTGCCTGTGTAAGTTCTGTGTTCCCCGCAAATAGGTGATTATTTAGCTTATTTACTCAAAATTACGGCCATTTGCAGCCGACTTGGTGCCCTAATTTTGAAATATCGAATTAAAGATCCAAATATGAAAAGACTTATGGGACAACCTAATATTTATAAGTCATATACCAGTGGATTCCCAGAACTGACATCTGGGGGAGTACCAAAAAAAATTTCCCGAATCTGGAGACCTGGCGTTATCTTTTCGTTTTAAAAATTCTATTTCACTTTCTAATCAACTTTCCTTCCCTTCCTTTTTCTCCAGAAAAGATTTGAGATGTTAAAAATTTAGCTGGCCCATCCAAAAAGTATTTCTTATATACCTAATAAGCCAAATTATTCAGTTACGAGCTGGCATCCCAGGTTCGTTCCACCCCGGTTTGGAGCCACTCCATCGCGCTTGACCTCTTAGGTAGCGAAACTTATCCTTCTTTTAATTCCGATTCATCTTAGGTTCGTTTCTTCCTTACCATGTCTTGATGACCAGCAAATCAAAATGCGCTTCACCGCTCATCCTTCATTAGGGAATGCGCACAAACATACATATTTCCTTAAATACATGCGTAAATGCACAAAGTTTTTTTCAAGACTTTACTGCACATAAACAATTTGTTTTACTTCCATAAACGATCTCCACTTTGCACTCCACCTGTGCCAAGCACTGTCGCAAACGAAAAGAATTTGTCGCTGACCTTCAGCGTACTTGACGCCAATGGAAAAATTAACGGAGTCGCAAAAGTATCCGCCCACATTTCCAGGCATTATTTTGAATCGCAACAGAAAGTTCATTGTCCTTAGTTTATATTGTAGGCTATCATTGATATGCAGACATAACGTTTGCCTTCTAAATATTCAGCTATGGCATGTACGATAGGGCGTATCTGCTTCGTCTAGGCAGCGCCACACAGCTCCAAATTCTATGCGGGTTTTTATGAAGCGAAGTTCAAATTTTTATTCAGTTTTTGATCAGTGGAGATGTCTGAAAGCCTAAAAAATTGAATCATTTTTTTGTGTTTGCTCAAAATTTGCAAAAATTCTTGTTGTGTTTTCGACTAAAAAATTTGTAGGTATGAATGATTGGTCTCTTCAGTCAACTTCCTGATTTCTTACAGTCATTAATTTCACGCATGATCTATTTGGATTCGTATTTTCTTTCATCGTACAGCCGCAGTATTTTTTTCTGTGCTCTAAAACTGGATTCGTTGGGGCGGACGTAGTCGAAGTCTTTGTCTTTCAATCGTCAATTTTTTCACACTTAAAGAGAAGCGAGGGGAACTTACTAAAAAAATCCTCAGAAAGAAGCAACTCTTCATTTAAATTCCCGGCTTGGCATGGATCCATTTTGCTTTCGTTTGCTTTTCTTTTTCTTGTACATTCTAACAAATGATCACCACAATCGAGCTTGTATTCAATTCTTCTACAACTACATATTTACAGACTGTAGACACTTGCCACCAGTATCATGGGTGCTCGAGCTGGTTTGGCGATAGATGGAAGTCCCAGACGCTACCGGTAAGAATTGCAAAGCTGTTATCTATTATGCGACCTTATTGCAAAGAGGCTCTGTATTGTTCAAGATTCACTAGTAACTGTAATGAATTTGTAAATTAAAATAAAGAGACTTTCAATATTTGGCTGCCAAACTTGAAAGTCTCTATGTTTCAAACGAAACATCCATAGCTATTTCTCATTTTGACTTCTCCTCAGGCCATGTGACGTTATCTCCTATAGTATGCAGATTTTTTCGAAAGAATTTCATATGTTGCGAATCCTGCGATGTTAGTAATGAAAATAATCAAAGGATGTCTCTTATAAAAAGTCATACAATGGCTAGGGTTTCGCTTCATATTATGATAAATTCACTCTTCAAAAAGTCGACATTCCGAAAAAATATGCATATGAGAAATCAGAAATTCTAACTTATGCTATCTAATAAGCAGGCGACGACTGTGTTCTTGCAGATTGTAGCGGTGTTATCAAATTTTTTGGAATGTGCCCTGAAGAATTCGTTTGTGGATCAACGCTAGGCACGAGGTGCCTTTTCGAAAAATGCAAATTCCCCGTTGACTTTCGCAAAATTTTGCGAACTTACCTTTTACCCTTATCCAATATATCCCAATCGACAAAAAAAAGAGACGGAAAGTCGGCTTTAACCTGACGGACTACAAAACGATATCCCCTTTGCTTTTTGTCTCAAAAACGATATCCAGCTTGCATATAAGTCACCTATGCCGAGCTCTGTGTTTGATTCCTTGTGAAAGTAGCTTTCCAAAAATGAGTACATGCAAGATGAATTACAGAAAAGGTGAGCTCGACATTTTGCCGTAGATAGTGCACCATGGCACTTTTTGTTAGCGCAAGTTATATGCTTGGATGTAGTTCAATTACGCTATTGTGTTAATGCTCTAACGATATCGAGAATTCTGCAAAAAACCTCAATTTATTCTATTAGGTATTATTCTATTACCAAAATTTCCTGCTAGCAAAATCAATGCTTTCTTTCCTGTTTTATGGCAGCAGAGAAGATATAAAAATGTGAAATAAAAGATATAAAGATATAAAAATGCGCGATGGTCAAACAATCGCAAAATATTTGACACAAGGGAAGTTTGGAGGAAAAATCCAACAAATTAAATGCCCCAAAGTTGGAATCTTGTCCAGAAATTCCACAAACCGATCTCGAGCCACAAAGAATAAGGTAAATGAACGTATGGCTAAGCTGGAAACTCTCGAATCTTTAGTTGGTTGTTAGACATCGAAAAATTTCTAGATTTTTTTTTCCGAATTTCACGGAGATCGAACTTTTTGCCATTGTGGAAGCGACTTCCTTTGCGCTCTCGAATAATATTTCAAAACTTCTCTATCTTCTCTGCCGCGGCTGATAAGGAACCTGCACTAATTTTGTATGAAAATGATATTTTAACAATCTTTCGCTCGTCAAATATCCCAATTTCGTTCCCCGGATCTCAGTAATGTCTCTGTGTTATCGATACCACGTTTCGCTGTTTATCACTTGCGCGGTGTCCTCATTCTTGCATTCTCTCCTTCGCTCTCGGAGATGTCTCCAGTTCACCTATAACATTCATGTTCGCAAATTATATACCCCGCTCTGCTCATGATTTCTTGTTACAACCAACTGAGGATACTTTTTTCAACCAATCAAAAGAGTTTGTAATTGTATCATGAATGTGCCCTTTATCCAAATATTGCTTTTCTACATCAAAAGAATCCCACACCTTATCTCTAATGAGCTTCTTCGAACTCTGTACATAACGTCGGCTGCAAATGAAGTCAATCTTAGCTTAATTCAAATTTTGAATTTAAATGTCCTGTAGAATTAATCTCGTAGAAAAGCATATTTTATATGAGCCCATATTCTCACTAATCACCTAGACGGAAGCGAGTTTCCTCTCTTTTATTCATTGCGTAGAAATTGTTTAAAACCTACGAAAATTCAATCTGTTATGGTTTTTTTCATAGTATCCTATGTATTTTTTTACATTTCACGAAAAATTTGATGACACCAAGATGGAAGCAGGTTATACCAAGTTTCTGATTCCACCACCATGATTTATTTAGATTTGAGTACGACTTTGCCTGGATCTCATCAGTGTAAGAGAAGCCCGCAAGGTTTATAAAAAAAGTAGTTAGAAAAAGACTTATCCATTCTTTCGTTCTGACGTTGTCTTTATGTTGTTCGTGTCTTACTGTCTTTTTCATTAGAGGAATGTACTATTGTAAGAATCTGTTAAATGTATGATAGTATATTTGCTTTATGGTAACATGCTGTTCTACATGTCTTCTGCCCGAAATTTATAAGGTGTCTCATATTTTTTTACCCTTTTACTCCTTCTTCTAATTTACTCCTTGCTAGTTAGATATATTTTGCGAAATCTTTTGATGAGCAAAGCAAGCTCTACAAGATAGTACTCCTTGCTGAATTTTGTCCCACCCAAATTAGTGGCTAGTCACTAATCGTAAGCTGTAAAAATGTTGTAAAAATCAAGAAAAATAATATCTTCGTTCAGAAAGTTTTTGCAAACTTTTTACTTGCTTAATATAATCTTCGAAAAAATATACATCTACTTTTGCTGTGTTTTCTCCATCTCTTACAATCTGGAAACTCTAATGGGTCAAATAGGCCAAATGTGCAAAAACGTCGCACATTTTTCGGAGTTTCTTGAGCAGAATGTTATTTAAAAAAAGAACCCTTGCAAAAAGCTGAAAATCAAAGATTATAGTTCTAAAGGTCTATACCATAAGTTACCTGTTTAAAAAAAACCTAGCATAACTTTGGCAAATCACAAATCAATTTTTTCATCTATTTCCAACCACGTGAAAAATAAGCAAATGCACAGATATCTGCCAGATGTGATGTGAAGAGCAAGTAAGGCGTCTTTGGGAATTTTTTCTGGATGAAAATGTGATTTTTTCTTGATTTCTTGGGCGTTTCGATGTCTTCAGTTTTTGGATTGGAATATCAGGAAGAACTTTGCGTAATTGTTTGATCATGTCTTGGGGTTCGTTTTGCTCCAACGAATGGTAATCTGTCATATACAGGGTGTCCCAAAAGTCTTTAAGCCTAGTATTGTCTCAGCTGCAAATGTACGAAGCAACATTGACAAATGAAATTTGAATGGAATCTTGTGGAGAACCTACAAAATAATAAGGTACACTCAGATTTCAAAAAATCCTCATTTGGCCTTCACATAAGCCCTCACACTCTTGCGGAACGCATGCACCGTGGCAGACAGGTAGTTGACGTCGAGAATGTCTCACACCTTCTGAAGGAAGTGTTCTCTACCGCCCAAAATTTAGTGTAGAACAGAGCAAGCCTTGCTGTCCATCACTGATCACACAGAAAGGTCAAAGGCTTTTGAGCCAGCAATCAAAAGGATGTTGATCTAACAAGCGCTCTTGTGAGATTCAACAAAAGTGTCAAAATGTAGCAAGCAAGTTCTCGAGAACATCAAGAGAACAGCAATTATGGCGTACATAGATAGAATTTGAAATGATGTTTCAGTACAAAATGCAGAGGTTACAGCCAGAATTAGTGACTCAAACTGAACTGGTGCTGGAGTTTTCAACTTTCTCGGATTTTTGTCCCCGAGAACTTTTTTTCTTATTGGCACGGCACTACTTTGAGTGTTCGTATCTTAATCCTACGATAAGGAACAAGACTACTGATTAAATTGGCACTGTAAACGTAGAGTGAAGCTAGCTCTACAATATGCAGTTCGAGATTCTGCAAGAGCTTCAAAGGCAAAAGAGCTATAGATGTTTGATTAAAGGGTATGTTTACACTGGGCCGTCCTCAAATAGTAATAGTATTCGCTTCAAGAACAATATCTTGAGAATGTACAGTGCAAACGATATGATATTTCTGTGGAATATTGAAAACTAGACGAAGTATTCATACGCCAAATTTGACTGATAAGCGAGGAATACTAACAATGTTACTATGTTGGAAAGTTAGGCTTAAAGACTTTTGGGACACCCTGTATTTAGAGAGCAAAAGTATATCACTAGCGGGAGAAATTGAAAGTTTGAAAAGCTATGGAGTAAAATGATAAATCTTGAAGTATAGCAGTCTTTACCCTCCCATTGAGCTGTACTTATAGTACATTTGTCTGACGTAAAGGACCCAAAGCCTCTTGCTTGCTCAAGATCATTGTTGCTTGCGCTCACCTCCAGCACTTGAACTGAACTGTTTTTTCAAAAGCTTACCCTGTAGGAGAAGAGCAGTGATGTATGTAATCAGAAATGAATTCGATATGTACGATATTTTTCCTGCAAACACGAAAATTCCTCAAAACTTCGCGTTTTGAACCAATGAAAGGTGCTTTGTGAAAGCTTACTCAAGAACACATTAATTCACAACTTTCTTTCCAAGAGTTTTCACTGCGGCTTGCTTGACGCATTCATCAGCGATCTGTCAACAGTGATCATTCATTGCGAAGGTTAAATGCCATTTACCTGCGATAACTCTCTCCTATCGATTTATGATAAAGAAATTCCCGCAAGGAATTTGCTTTGAATCCGCCCGAGAAGACTGGATTGCGGCCGGACAAAATTAGGCGAATCTAATGTGCTTGACAGAGGCGGAATCTCTTTGTTTGAAGTGCATCAAAATTAGAAAACGGGAACACTTTCTCACTTCAACGTTCATATTTAGCAGCAAAATTTCCGTTTTTGCTTTCATAAGCTCTAACAGCTCAGCGTTAAACTTTTTTGATAGTCATTATGGGTTTCTTGGATTTTCAACTGCTTTTCCTGAACAGCTTTAGAGATAATAGCAATGCAACACCCGGAAGGCACGCATCTTTCGCACTCTTTCCATTTTTCATCGATCTAAATGTTGAAAGACATGTCACAAGTCGGAGGCTTTAATTCTAGCACTTAATGTTTCTTGGATGGACGCATCTTTTTTAGGAAATCTGACACAGCTTTCTTCTATCCTAAAACTGTAATTTCATGGGACCACTCAAGTTCCAGCTGCTTACAGGGAGGTCCGCTAGCCGAAGTGGCCTTTTCAAATGCTGTTTCCAAACCTGTTTTCGTTTGCCAATCCTCCCTCCCCCGAGTGCCGAGATATGAGTGCCTTTTGGAAGAAAAAACGCAGAATTTAGGTAAAATCAACCGTTACAGACTTTTCAGCTCAAACAGGATAGTGTAGTATGAGTGTATCAGACAGAAGTTACTTAATGAATGAAGTGCTCTGGTGATAACTAGAACTGGGTCACTTGAGCAATTTTGGACGAATCATGTTCGAGTTGCGCATTCACTTTTTCGACCCCAAAAGGCTCATAACTCGGCGTTTAGACGCGTTTGGCAGATAGTGAAGACAAATTTGTGGTATAGGAGTCACTTAAAAAGGTCACCTCGGCTAAACGGGCTTTTTTGTAAGTTGTATAAAATTAATTTGATGTCTTTGTTACCCTATAGAAACCCAAGCTGATGATTTGAAGACCATAGTACATTTTCTCGAACACTGGTGAACACTTAGGCTCATTCAAACTAGGCCGTGGGCCTGTATTCTGTTTCTTCTCGATAAGTTGTTCGGAGGATTATGAGAATAGTTTCTAATTTTCGTACTTCGTACATCATACTAAGTGCATCCAATTTCTTCAATACATCAAGTTCCAGTAAATCGCGCTGTCTTTGTATACAAGAAAATTTTTGGTAGCTGCTGGAAATAGGAAAAGCAAACAATACGTTTTATTTGCCTTCACCGGAATTTGAATGATTCGATCGCAAGCCTCTTCCCTCTCTTATCAAGCTTTACTCATAGGCATTATTCATGCGTAGGTATTTAGCAAAATCTGTTCATGAGTATATTTTGAGCGAGACATTGAGTTTGCTAAATTTTTTGTCGTTGCAGGGACCATAGCTTTTCTTTGGATTTAAGGAAATTAAACCTGGAGCTGCACCGTTTCATTGCTAATCGAAAGAAAAACCTCCAACTAGCCTAAATTCCAATGAAACGGTTTTTTAAATTTGACAGTGGTGAAAGTGCAATATCCTGTTCAAATTCTTGATTTATCTCTTTTGTTTAATTGTCACATAAATCCCGCACCAAAAATTGTAGATGAATCGTAATCGTTGAAATAGAAGAAATACTTTGATTTAAATCTCTTATACATGATAAAACTTATTTTGTCATGCGTAAGAGATTTTATTGAAACAAATGCAGAAGTCGAATAAATATTACCAAGATTATAACTTTCAGAAGAGATGTCCGAAATAATTTTGTCTAATCAGAAAGACTTCGCTACCAAACTAAAAGTGAAATCAATTTTTATTGAGCCTTCGAGGATTCCCGAAATTTCAAAGATTTGACTTCAGTGTCTGCCTTGTTCAACAGTTCTTACCATTCACATAATTACCGCTAAATAGCTGATGATTTACTCTCTTCAAAAAACCTCGAAACAAAATAATTTATTGGAAATGAAGAAATTTATAGTTTTGAAAGCCTGCTGCAATACTTGTGTAATTACTTGAGCTATTCATCAATAATTGTTATACACTAACATATTTCATCCTAATGGGATCTGGCTGTTACCAAAGCCCTGAGCACTTTTTCAAAGACCGTTTACTAGTTACAATGTTACTAAGTGCGTGTTCTTCCGTTCACACATTAATCATGGCGAGAATTGCTTTATGTTCGCTCATTCTCTTTGATGTCTCACATCATGGCGAAATGTCTGAATTTCTTAGGCTCTCAAGAATGGGTGAGACCGACGGTCACTGGCCGAACAACAAAGGCGAAGGGGTCAGTAAACAATTTCAACCGAAGAAGTATAAAGACGGAGGACAGGAATGGCGCAAGGACAGAAAAGATGTATGAGCTTTTTCATTTGAAGTATTTGAAGAGGGAATAGGCTGTGCTTGATGTTTGAAAAAGAGGGCGTCTTTAATTGTGGTGAAGAAAGATTAGCCTCTAATCATTGCAACCTTTACTCAAAAGAAATACTAAGAGGGAAAGTCAAGGATTTATCATTTATGTTGAAAAACTTGGGCAGAGCGAAATCTCCCTGCATGTTTTCAGGGTCCCACGCAATCCGCCTATGGTTACACCCCTTTCAAGACCAATTCTCTGAGTCGAGCAACCACCCCACTCGCTACAAGTAAGCCATTCAAGTGCATGAATCTCAGCTAATGCAAAGTTTTTCAGTTTCTGAACAAAGCTCTCAGAGCGGCACCTTACGCAACTCTAACAAATCGAATCCCTTCGTCTATCCCAACCAGGTTCCGGTGCGAAATGGTTATGCAATGCATGGTGAGTACATGTGATTACTAAAAGAAAATCTGAAGATGTACTTGCTGATTAAATTTTGGTCCTAGAACCCCACGTTGAGAGAGCTCGTGATAGCTCGTCCTGAAGCTTCCTCTAAATTATTCTTCAGTCATTGACTTTGTGCATATCGATTATGAGTTAGGGCTAGCTAAAAATTTATTTTTGTTATGCTTGTCATGAATATCTTACTCGTTTTGTAAGTTTTCGGGCAAAATTCATTAAGGCACTCTTTTGAGTTTTGAAACTCATATCAAAGTTCTAGCTCTTGTACGACACAGCTGTCCTTGAACTGTTTTGCAGATAGTGCGGTACAATTTGCAGCTGTTTTTCTTGCCTTTAAAGTTTATCAAATCTCTACGGAGGCTCTACTGTGACGAAACTTCAAGGGCAAATAAAGTTTGCCAAAATGAGACAGTGCGTTTTAGAGAAAATATTCTGGAGCAGAAAACTTCGCAGTTTTTTTCAAGACAACTATTCTTACGGTTAGGTAACAATTAAGATTGTGGTGGGCTGATAAGTAGAATTTTCCTCCCACCTAAAAATTGCCTCAACCTCCTAAATTGATTTGAATAAGTTGAACACGCATGTCCCGAAAGCAGGGTCGATGGAAGTTTTTTTTTCAATTAGCCAATCAATTGTCTTTATGATACCAAAAGCTCAAAAAAATTGAATACGCAAAGGGCGGAAGTTAGAAACAATCCTTTCACATAATTATCTTTAATATTCAACAGTGCGATAAACAAAATAGTAAATCAGTAGTTTTTCCATCCGTTTTTTGACGATTCTTGCCATTCTCTTTGGTCATACCCAAGCTTTCCTCTCCATTAAAATTCATAGTAGTACAACTCGTAAGGTGGTTTATTCGGCTTTTCGCATTCAGAGCCCTTTGAGATCTGCGAGCTTACATACCGAGTGTCCCAAAAAGATGTGCCTACTGTTTGATTGTTGATAACCCTCTTGTAACGAAATCTTTCCGGAACCTTGGGGTACCATTTTGTAGAGCTAGCTTCAAGTTAGTCTTATACTATGGTACGAATCAAAAATCCCTTTTCATTATTGTAGGATTACGGTAGAGCAAATAAAGGTCATATTTTAGCCTAAATTAGAAAAGAAGCTGAAAGCTCCTACACTATGTTAATCGGAGTCACTGATTTCAAACATGACACTCGCACTCCATTTTTCATAAGTTATGCCAGATACACACAACAATCAATTTCTGCTATTCGTCAAGAATCTGATTAGGCAATTAAAAAGCTCTACGAAAGCGCAAAAGTTCATGTACTGAAATCAGCATTATAAAAAGTGATTACACAATTTTTCAGATTTTTTTCAAAAATTTTAACGGTCTTTTTCACAGTGGCGCCATATGCTGCAAGTTTCCACCATGCTCCTACAGTAATAGAGATAGATTCCCATTTCACTCCATACTGTAAATCAGTTGAAGCTATCTCCACAAATACCTAAAGCTTCCCGAAAACTTCATTACAAGAGAGAAGAATCAAACACAATTTAGGCACATCTTTTTGGGACCCCTGCGTAGTGGATCCAAGCGAAACTTATACAACGGAGCTAAAGACATTCTATGGAATTGTGAAGAGGACCTGTCCTATTAGCAGGCTTCCTTCTATATGCAAAACATCCCGTTACATGCTTTAAAGGGGCATTCCTTCATAATGATACAAAAGGATCCGGTGATCTAACTATGCTTTGTCTGTCTGTAAGTATGATTACCTGTTGTACGATGTAAATTCCATTAGTGCATTAAAATTTCGGGAAAATCACTTCGACGAGGGCAAAAGAAAGTTTCAAGAGATCTGGTGTTTCCTTTATGTATAATTTAGTTTGCATTTTATTGAGCATACAAATACATAACAAACAACAAACATAAGATTATAGATTTTATATAATCAGTAGACTGAGAATAAATCCAAAATCATGATCACCCAGATGAGAATTAGTAAATCATAAAATTCATTTATAACCAGATCCTATCAGTACTTTTACGCATTTTCTGCTTCCAAGTTTGAAAAAAATAATTCGAGTTTTTTTTTCTTGATCAATTACACAGCGATATGCTGACATTTTTGCTTTGACTCCGCAAGACTTCTTTTCTCCAGTTGCTACAGGGCCATGCAAACATATAGAAAATGGATGAGACTACAAATGGTACTCTTCTTTTTCATGTTATTTTGAATAAGAACTCTCAGATCCGCCTCAATCGCATTCAACGCCGAAAGCAACCCATCACTCGCAGATTCGATCCGAAAGCGCTACGCCAATGTCACGAGAGCAGAAGCTGACATGGGGTCGATGTAAGCAATTTGAACTACGTTACCTTATATCTTAGCTGAGAGCTGATTACAGTACCACCTTCAGCCGGTTTTCGATCTGCTTCCGCCATGGGACAACAGATGCGTCCTGGAAGCCGACAAAGTGACGCTGGTATAGGACAGTGTAAGATAATTCCCTTATGTTTTTCAATTTTTTTCCACTTCAATCATGCTTTGTGGTACATGATTAATCTATCTCCTTCATTTTCCTCTAAATAGGGCATACATGCACTGGTTCTTCCAGTTTTTCTCTGCTATGTAGGCGTGCACACACCTGAAAATTCAACTATTATTATTGGGATTGTGCCACTGGCGGTCACAGGATCGTCCAGAGGGGGGGGGGGGTGGCAAAAATTCTCAAATAAAGATGCGTGGCGTTAGCCTCGCACTCTGAAAAAATCTTTGGGGTGCTTTTCAAGATTTTTGAGCGTCCATAACCTTTGAAACCTAAAAAAAGGGGGCGTGGCATCTACCACGCCCCCGAAAAAAATTTTTTCAAAGCTAAAATTTCAAAAATTGTTTTAATTGTTTACAAGAGCAAACAAGTCACTTGCAGATTCTTAGAACCTATGAAAGTAAACTTCAAAAATTTGCGACCCATTCTCGAGGGAGGGGGAGGCCCCCCCGCCACCCCCTCCTCCTCGGTCCGCCACTGGATTGTGCTATCCTGCTTGTTGTTTATTGAAGTACTTTTCAATCTGTGGAATTGAATAGCCCTCTTGAAGGTTTTTGAGATTTCGGCTCATCTCCCCTTCTAGACATCTCGGAAATCTCAGGATGTGAAAAAAGGTAAAATGTCGCATTGATTATTTTAGAGCAAGAATTGTGCAAGTTAGTGCAACTTTTGCGCAACATTTTCAAATACCGAGCTACTTCGTCATTTTATGTGAATCATATCCAGATTTATAAAAGGTTCTCGTCACTTCGTTTATTGGAAGGTAATCGGTTTGCGACCTTGTGATTTCAATTGAATTATTGTTTTGGTTTTTTTGAAGTTTGAGTAAATTACAACTGAACTCATAACTGGGTGGAAAAAGAGTGTGGCGTATCACCCGGGCGGAATCGTCGGAAGTTCATAACTCTGTTCAAAATCATTTTTACAGGTTTTTTGTTGTTTTTTTCCATTTTTACAGGTTTTTTATGTAGGTCTTGTGATAGGAATCTAAAAAAAGAATTCTACAGAAAATTCTGCCTTTGAATATCTACCGCAATCTGAAGCACACGCAGCGCACATATTTCGAAGAAAATGAAGTGGCATTATATAGGATGCGATTGTTTTGATCTACCAGTTCATGCTCAACTATTTGGTTATCCTTCGGAAGAGTATATAAACGCCCTTAAATGTACAACTACTCTGTTTTTGTCATTCTGTAAAACAACATAATTTTTAATTCGAGTTTATCTTTTGGTAGACTTTCTGAAAGATGTCTTATCTATGTGGATTTCAGAATAAATTACGATCTCATAGCGAAATACCTTATAAGTGCAATCTATAGTGTGTAAAGTCGACACCGCTTTCGATTATGGAACTGATCGTGATGTCGGGGCGATATGCTAAATCACTAATCTCAGTGTCATATAAAGCTTCTCTTTTCTTTTCTATTTTCTCCTTATGCACTGTAATCGCTCTCTCTGGCCAAGCTAGTGCTCTTCTTTTCAACACATTCAATTTTTGGCTACGCAAGCTCTTTTCTGTATTCACAAACAACAGAAATTTTCTATTACGCATCTGGTGGTCCTTTGCATAAACAAGCTTTTTAATATGTGCGGATCTCGCACGACATCTCAGCCACTCTCGAGGTGTCGCGTTTTCTTTTGCGCACTCTTCAAATCAGGTTTTCTGCTCCTTTATTCTAAGTGCTGCATTTGAAACATTCAGATTTACAAATATTCCCGAGGTTATCATTAGCCACAGAATCCTGCTAGCACTTTTGGCAAAAAAACTCGCTATCAGGGTTATTCCATGTAAAACTTCTAATTATGTTTCTCGCTCTTCTTCAATGTGTGTGTAGTTTTCTCACTGTCAGTCCGAAAATGCTGCATTCGAGCATAATGAGGCTGCTGAAAGACTATATTTGAAGAAGTTTAATAGATGCAAGACTTGTTTGCTTTTATATTATCACTGTAGTTCAATAACTACTTTAGAATAAAGAAGAACGCTAGCGCTGTATGATTAGTTTGTGCGATTTCTAAACATACTCTTTTGTTTTTCTTCTCCTACTGGCTAGTATCGTGCTCACTAAGTTTATCCGTAACTAAGAACGTGGTCATCGTCCAGATGGTGTATTGTGTTTTCAAGGTGATATTATCAGTATATTACGGGCAACAAGTCATTCCCTATAAAAACATATTCTTCATTCATATGTTATGTGAAACCTACAGAAATGACCATAACTGAGTAAAAATTCGCGTGCGGATTAATGGTGAGATTTCTCTCTACAATGATGACCTTTTCGTAGGCAATGTCCTCTTTTCATGCACGTAAAACGGTGACATCTGTGATAATCAGATTTTTGTCTTTTTTGCTTCTCTACGTCTCGGATCTATTAGCATTTCGTGCTAAAAATTATTCATGAATGTCTTTCTAATCCACACTATGCTGCTAGTGTATACATAGTTCTGCTAGACAGCTATGCTTCTGACCAACGGCCAAATATTTATCCAAGTGATTTTGATATGTCTACAAGTTGTCAGTTAAATCTGAAAGCAGCTATTCTACTCCTTAGCTCAGACAACTAACCGGAACTTCCGCAGTATTCGGGAAAGTTGCGGGGTCACCTGCGGAAGCTCCGTAAAAGTGCTGTGGAAGAATGCGAACCACAACTGCAAAAGAGAACACCTGAATAAAATTTGAACCTTACTCTATTGACTGCGAGACTCACCTACTTCGTCCTCTGCACTACGGATGAATATATTGCACTCTAGTTGTTGACGAGGCAACACTAGACAACTCATTCAAAACGCTGCGGAAGTACTGGCATGTCAAAGTGCTGCGAACCGCTGGCATCTTTTGGAAGTTCTGCAGCGCTTTGTTAGAACTCCTGCGGAAGTTCGCAATTTCAACATTTCCACTTTTGCAATAGTACACAAAATCTTGCGGAGCCGCAGCAAATTCTACTTGTTCTGCGGAAGTTCCGAGTGATTGTCTGAGAGGGTATTTGTTGAATGGATTCCACAGCCAGTTGCAAAATTTTTTACAAATTCATGAACGATTAAATTTCAAGGTTTTACTTCTTTCAAAGCCTGTCCTCATCTGAAAATGTTTTTTACTGCAAATTTTTAAAATACAATTGTAGTCATTAAAATATGCGCAAAATTATTACTGCTTGGAATGACGGTAAGAAACGGATCATTTGACTTTACTGCTCCATCGATAGCATATTTTAGGTGTGGGCTCACGGTACCAATCGTACTGCACACTTCCACGACCCGAAGAGGTCGATCCGGAAACACTCAGTGATATGCACTCAAATCTTCACGCATTCTATGGGCCCACTATACCGAAGGCTAGTAGATGTCATTTATTCTCCATCTCAGCCGGTGAAAGATTTGCAGGTAGTGTCACGAGCCCCTTCAGCAGCATCTCTTGTGCCTGGAATGGGTCCCGGTATGGCCTCCGACTTCATTCGTCCTCCAACTGCTTACAATGGAAACGCTGTAGGGATGAACGCTCCACCGCCTGCTCCACCAAAACAACGAGAGATCGTCAGCTGGAATACATTAAGTTTGATTTGCAGCATGCAGGTATGGAACTATTTACTGCATTATAGCTTAGGTTTTCTTCCTGAACTTGCAATCACAATGTTTTTTTTTGAAAGACGATAGGGAGCAGTCGATAACAAATAACTTTTATAAAAGAATGTATGTACACAATATTTGATTGTGAATAACTTCGAGTCTTGCCCCGAGCTTTTCAATGGAAAGACAATCGTTACTGTATAATTTTGAACGAGAAAGGTTTAGAGTTAGCAACTCTAATTAGTAGTGAAAGATTCTAAATTGAGTCTTCTTGGGCAAGGATTGGTCCTCGAAAATCTCAGGCCCCTCCAAAACATGCTACCGTATTCCTTTAGTAAAAAAGAGATCTCACTTGCTTTGAGAGATATAAATCCTCTGTAATTATTTCGGTTTTTTCACTTTACGGTTAAGTTTGCATAACGGAGAAAATTGAGGAAGAAACGAGCAGAGTTCTGTGCCTTATGGCCGACCGCGCTCTGAGGAATGTTTGGACACAAAACAAGCAAATACTTGCTTGCACCTTCAGACGTCTAACCTGTTGAAGTTAGATGAACGTGCAAGCGAAAATGCGCAAGCTCTGCTGTGTCGTATTTGGACAGTTTTCGTCTTTTGCCTGAATAACGGGAGAAGCATAGAAAAAAAAACACAGGAAGACTTAAGTGTTGGCATATGACTGACTGAAACTTTCATGGAAAAGTGCAGTTGAGCATTGACATTTGAAACCATATCCAAGCCAAAACGCCCCCCCCCCCCCAAATGATTGTACCTAGTCTACAAGAAGACCCGAGGAGTAGGAAAGACATATGTGTAAATCTCTCCCTCCAATCTGGTCCTTGCATGGAAAAAATGGACCTGAAACGCGCAAAAGTGCTATCAAGCCACGCCCGCCCTAGCAAGCTCCGCCCACCATAAAAATTGTCTGCGTCTTCAAGATGGATCCCCAATATTCGTTTTCGTGTTGCGCATTTTGCACTTCATATCTATAATAATCAAGGCCACGTAAAGGCTCCAAAATGACACAAAATGGAAGCCTAATTTTTGGGTGAATCTGCCATCAAGCATGGATGGGTACTTTCCATTCCGTGAATTTTCATAAATTGCACTTTTAAGGTGCTTTGCTCACTAGCCATATTCGGTCTGGGAGTCGGTCGTATGATTCAAGGAGCGAAATGGGCTATCGGCATCGAATTGGCCTATGCACTTGTGGTTATCGTAGCTGGATTGTCCGGTATCTACTCGGTTCGGCAAAGAAGCTACGCTGCTGCTGCTTTTGCCTGTGCTCTCAGCGCTTTCAGTACGCTTTTAGCAGTCCCACCATTCGTGTTAGGTAATGAGCTGAACTCAAAAAATTTCCACATCGATTTTCTTTGTCAAATCAATGTTTAGGATTGTTTCCGACTATACCATGGGCCTTCGCAGAAGCAACACCTTCAGTTTGGATAAATCAAAATGAGCCTTTCGAACTGGATTTGGGTCTAAGTCTCGTCATACTCATTCAGGTAACAAATTTACTGCAATCTGTCATATATCAACCAAATATATCAATTTGCCCACAGAACATTGAACTCTGAGCATAGAGTAATCAAAACATATGGAGTCTTACCTCATCAGTAGCCTTATAACGCTTGCAGTACTCCCGCAATTGATTTTGAATAAACAAGAATTGTTCATTTCACCCTTTGCCAAAACGAAACGGAGGCACTCTGGATTAGGATAGCTGATAGTTTCAAATAATAAAAAAAGTCATCCTTTGATCAAGCTCAAATAATACGACCTTCTGACCCTGTAGAAGTTGATAAATACTCTTATGCCTTCAAAAAAACTCTGAGCACGTTTAATCTGAAAATTTCTTATTTTTGATGTGCCTTTATTTGCGCTATCTAGGTGGTAACAAACCTATTACTGACTATGCGAAAGAATATCGGGAATTACAAATATAGTTGCATTTCAACCGAGGACTTACTAATAAATAAAGCATATGAACTAAAAATTCAGTTACTTGTGAATATTGGATTTTCTTCTAATTTCTTGCGGAAATCATTGAATTATATGAGGATGTTGACCAAAATTAGCCAAAATCGCGAAACTCAATCCTAGAGCAAAATTTTCCAATCCAAATAAAAAGGGCGAAGTCGGAAGTAGTGGGTAATAAAAAGTTCCCATTTGCGCAATCGCTAAACATCGACATATAATAACTGAGCGAAAGTGTGGTGATAAACACTCGCACACTAGCACTGTACTTGGCACAAAGTTCCATAAGTATTTTATTCTTGCTCATTTCAGTTCATTCTGTCAGTGGTTGTGTCGATCAGCGGATGCAGATCAATTGGAGTTTTATGTGAACTTGTGGAAGAAGTGAAACTTCAACATGACCTTCGTACAGCCTTTCATGACATTGACGTACCTCGCAAGGTTTGAGTGCAGGCTCTCTAGAGTTCTTTTTCCTTTGTCCTGAGCATATAAGGATGTTTCATTCTTTCGACAATCATTCCAGTTGCCATCACTTTGTTAATGGTGCAACAACATATGTCTTTGAAATTATGAATTGATGACCCTGTACCACTGAGATTACGTACTATGCTCCATTATTATTTCCCATGTGTTTTGTAAAAGATACAGAATTGCATACGTGTTACTACAGTTGGAACAATATTTCTCCCATTATGATTCTTAATAAATTATTATTTGTCTCTTGTACTATATTATGAACTAGCTGGCAAACGCGGCTCGTCCGATTCTGTCAGTGATATTAATCAGCATGTTCTCTTACCCCCTGTGCCCACTTCTAGCCGCCTAACTCCAACCTTTGCAAAAAAAATTGTTAAAATCGATCATAATAACAACTTCTGTTCGGAATATACTACAGACAGCTTTCATTCATGAAGATAACGTTGCTGTTTCTGTACCAAAGATCTTTCTGAAGAGAGCAGAGTTTGTGAGAAGCATAATCGCTTTTAAGCCGTCATAGATTTGATGATTTTGAAGAGTTGCTATGTTCAGGTAATTTGCGAGCTAGCTCTTTGATCAATCCAATCAAGTGTTTCACCCGCCGTTACCATTTCTCGTGACAGGCTGACAAGCTCATATCAGCTTTCAGTTGTACAAAAATGCACAACAATCATTAGCTCGGACGTCGCTTGTAATGGTAACGGCAGTCGGTTACACGGATGGTTTATCTTTAGGTATGTTAGCAGATAATGTCTGCAGTGACAATAAGATTCATTTCAATTCTTTTAATGTACTGTTTCCTCTCTGCCAATTAGAGCATTTCGCGCGATAATTTTAGATGTTTAAAGACATTTGAACTTCTCCGCAATAAATTAAGATAAACTCCGTGTACTGTTATCAATATTTCAGTAGAGTTCAGGCCTTCTACATCGGGATTGAAACATTTACTCTCACACTGATAGACCGCTCTCACCTAGAATACCGTCAAATATCTAAACACGGTTGATAGATTTCCACTCAATGCACCGTTGAAGACAGTAACTCGCTAAACTAAAGATTTCGAACCCAAGGTTTCAGATCAACTGCACTTTGGTCATCCTGTAACTACTCGCATGAATACTTATTTTGATTCTAGTTGTACGGTTGTTTGACATTGCCGAATGTGAACTGCAGGAGAAGCCATTTGCGTTAGTCCGCTCCTCCGTGTGGCCCCTTGATGGGGTAAATGGACCAGAAGGCCGTAAAAGTGTTATCAAGCCAAGCCCGCCCCACCAAGCTCCGCCCACCCTTCTACTGAAATTCGTCCGCGCCTCAAAGATAAGACTCTTCGATAACGGGTTTTTTGTGGTTTTTGCAATTTTTACACTTCATATCTGTAATTAGGGCCACAAAAAGGCCCCGGAGCGACAAGTGTGGGCGCTGCTTCTGAGCGCTTAGCGTCCGTTAAGACATAGTGGCTTGATATGTATAACTATATTAGCTGGATCCAACGATGACGTCTGCATAATGACGAAAATCAGTTATGCGGTCTTTTTGATGTCAAGCTGATGAAGTGCTGTAGATGGTTATACAAGCACCATTCATTTCAATCATTTTTCTTTATTCAATTCTATTTCTTTCGGTGTTGGCTATACTTGCAACACCTTCGATCCGTTTGGGAGAGTATATTTGTTTATTTGAGGTGCAAAATGTTAACTCGCTCCTAATATGTTGATTGTATTTGCAAACATACCTGTGTACAGCCAGCGACACTTCTGCTCTAGCGTGGCATGAGAATAATGGAAATTATCAGCGTTGGGTTGATCTCCCAACAAAAAATGTCCATCCATTTGTTTCAGTTGCTCTGTATTAAAAGTGCTTGGAGCATTTGCACTGGATATCTATGATAAAACTGTATATTTTCATTGAATGGGTTGTCGCGTCCACAAAGCAATATTTTCTAAGTCAGAGAAACCAATTTCAAAATTTTGCGACCTACTCGCGATAGTAAGTGTTAGCGACAATTTACACAGTGCAGAAGAAGAAATTTGTAGGATCCTGTCTCGAATTCGTCTGCTTTTCTTTTAAACAAAACCAGCTTTTAGATAAGAAAACGTGCTTGACTTGAACGCAGGAAGCACATTTGAAATAGCTAGTAAGACACTGCATACTTCGAAGAGTAAGGGTGAAACAAAAATTCATCTCCCGCTAATTCTGTACAAAAATACAAGCAAGGTCCAAGAATGTGACCATAATTTTGAAATCTCGTTCCCATTTCCCCCCTCTCCTCTTCCACTTTCCGACAGAGATTATTTGAACATTTATATGTTACCATGCATGGTTTGTAACAAAGCAAACGTTTAGTGAATCGATAATCTCAACAACAAATGCAGAACAAGCCACCTTTATGGTAATACGCACAAATGGTCGAGGTGGACGTTTCTAGGTCAAGAAAAGAAGAAATACACAGTATTCTTATTACAAATTCTTACAGCCAAGAATATATTTGTACACATAGAAATATAACACCGGAGATATACTTTGACAAAAACAGATTTGGCTAATTGCTGACACGGATTGAAAGTGAATTTGCCCAGGGCAATGAATGCCTGCGGTTACACACTAGATTTCAGAAATGAGTCACAAGCACAGTGCGAGATTCCATTAAGAACAGAATTGTTTGTATGCAAAGTAGTCATGGTGCTGAAAGAATGAAACGAAAGCAGATCACAAGCGTTAAAACACGGTCGGATATGCGTTTGTCATAGGCAAACTGAACGAAGAGGGAGAGACACGTAGTGGAGAGCAACGGAGATGCGCTTAAAGGACAAGCATTCTGCCCAGGACGGCATCGTCAGCTATCCTGCTTTAGGAGCGAACGAAACCAGAAAGCATGCTTCAGAATCCAACCTATATCTATCCTACCGAAGAGCACAAATGGAATATACAGAGGCACGGGGATACCTGACAAAAATCTAAGGACCAGTGCTCTCAATCTGCTTGATCATGGTTTTTACGACTCCGCCAGGAGGGATTAGAGCGTCCAGCTCAGCCGCCTGTTCGACGGTGAGCGGCGTTCGCTGACGAGCCGCCAATTTTCGCGGAGATGCCATCTCGTCGTCGATCAGGGGAAAATCGCCTCGGGGCGATTCCACTTCCGCGATCGTGGCCGAACGTTCACATAGCGGCAAACGGCGTGACATCTAAATTTCAGTTCTTTGACGAATAGAAAATCACTCTCTTTCTTGTTTCGAATGCTCATGTGTAAGATTATGTTGAATTGGTGGATATAAACCTCAAAAGTCTCGAGTATTTGATTCTGCACATGCAGATCGCGCAAGTATGAAAGCAAAAATTGAGATTTCGAACTATCAGATTGGTGGATATTTTCTGCGACACTTTTTCATTCCAATTCCTACAAATTCTATGATCTTTTCAAAAAAACTTAAATTGCTATACAACCAAAGTGTGACAGGGTCTACAGCCGATAATTTCAGCGCCGCAAAACGGAGATAAATACCAAAAAATTTTGAAAAATTTTCTTCTCATGTGTATGTATGTATAAAATTTGGCATGCGAAGTCAAAGAAAGATTCAGTCAATTTATAGGAGATTTGAATCTTATTGCCAATATTCTTCGCCATCCTTATAGCCTGAAGAGTACACAGTTGATGACTCTTAAAACCGCCGCTCTCTGTTGGGAAATTATCCAGATAATGATGTGACGATGTTTTGCCTACTTCAGTAGTATAAATGTACTCTAAGGCCCCGGGCAGTCTTCACGCGACTTAATCGTCGCGATCTAATCGTCAAGACATTCATTTTCATTTCACGTTCAAAAATGCCGGGCTGGAAAAGTATCACAACCGAATGCAAGTTGGTCGGCATGGAATGATGTTGTAACAGCGGTCTCATCGCGATTCAGTCGCGACGATCAAATCGCGTGAAGTCTGCCCGGGGCCTAAGGCCGCTCGCATAGACACGAAGTCTTTTGAGATATCATCACATAATGACAAATCCGACTTTCAGATGGAAACGAAGAACAAGTGTGGTTGGCTTACCTCTGAGCCATCTCCCATCATGTACTTCTTCGCTCTCATTCGCCTTTGTTGATCCAATTTGTTGAAACGACGCTCCTGCCTAAAGCAAAGACTACTTAGTATATCTATACAGGACAGTGATACGAAGCATATAGTCCTAAATTATGTTAAAAGAAATACAACTCTTGTAAGTAACAATGTCGAAATCAGTAAAAGTTGTATTGAATTAAATGCAAAAGATAAATTTCTTCCACCACTTTTCTTTAAAGTTGAAAGATCGCAAAGTCTAAGAAGTCAGAGGCAAGCATAAACATTGTGCATATCTAATCAGGGAAGCATCCTCAGTCGAAGAGCGGAAAAGTGTCCAAGAGGCTAAGTGCACGGTGACCTTTTTTGGTTGAAAAATAAATCTTTGTGCGTTTATAGACATTGAGATTTCGTTCAATCATCCATACTTGTATATCTTACAATTTGCCTGTCACACAACCTAGGAGGTTGATAAAAAGACATTTTGCACGCACACGTATGATCCCTATTCCAGAATGGTTCTCTCTTTTTCATACAGAACGTCGATTTCTTACTTTGAATGCTTCGTCTATAGCAATTGGGTCTAATTTTGCATGACTGTTGCATATTCCTCGAGAATTCCTCTTCTTGAAGCAAAGTATTTTTGAAAATAAGTGTATAGGGCTCTTCCAGATATTCTATCTTACCACTATATTGAATACATAGAAGACAAACAGATCGTTATAAAAGCCGTTGTACTTAAGGAGTAAAAAAAAGCTTTTATTGATTTCGCCATTCGAATTTTGTCATAATCGCAATGGTGCTACATACTGATAAAGTTCTGACGGGGGATAGGATTCCGGAGCGATGTCGTTGAGCAGAGCATCGAGCGAAGGATCCGAGAACTCATCGAGCCTCGTCAGCGACTTCGAGCGATTTTTGTACACGGCCTGGTCCCGCCAAGCCAGTACTTCTTGCAACGCATCCTGCTCGCAATTGTTTGGCGCAACGGCCATAGCCTGCCTGGCCTGAAAACATTCAGCTTGACGATGATGGCTATCGCGGAAGTGAAAGTGAGCACTACGAGCTGAGAACCAGCTGACCTGAGCTTTAGGGCTGCTATTACCGCACGAGACGAGCTCTTTGAAAAGCTCGTCAAACGTCTCATCAATCTCTTCACATTCGATGCGACGACTGGCTGGTGAACGAGTACTCTGGAGTAATTAGAGGGTCATGAATGAGATATTGCGAGATGTTATAGAACTGAGTGCTCGCAGTGCCAGCAGCACTATTATTACCAAAGATTTATGCTCATAGTTAATAGGTAGCTCGACTTATATTTATTGAGTCGTCCAAAAACTCTTTCCGAAAGAAGTTCTGTTGTCCCACTTTTTTTTGCAAAATTGGAAGCTACTCCTCCTGACTTTGGCTTACTTTGGCCTACTAGCGCTGATTGTTTTTTTTTGTTGTCTCCTTCTTGTCTTTCATTTATTTCGTATGAAGAGTATGGAAAAAATTTCATTAAAAAAACTTGTTCAACCGTCTTCAAGAGTCTAGAGGCATCCCGCACATTAGGGAGTGAAAATGAGATGAAACTCACTACTTCCCCCGCTTAAACCTTCAAAGAAAGCAGGGAAAAGAGCTGGTGTACACTCGATGATTGCCAGATGAATGGGTATCAAGGAGTAAAAAACACATAACTCTGCTTATTTAACATCAGCTGATCAAACTACCAGTAGCGGTCCGAGAAATGATTCCGGATGCAACAGGCCACAAAGAATCTTTTTTTCAAATAAACGAAGTCTTAGCCACGTCTTCCGAGAAATTACTAAGGTAGTTTACAGAATTTTCGCTGATCTACAACCTTTAAAATGTCTTTACAAAACTAATTTGCAAATTATAGAAACTAAAAAATAATTTTGATTGTTAGCAAGTGAAAAAGTCAGGTATACGATTTCATAACCCATTATGCTGCTTTCGAAAATTTTTGAGAATGGATATGGAGGAAAGGGAGGAAGGATATCCACCGATAAGGTATGTTTCATACAGCTATAAAAAGGGAGATAGAGAAATAATTGTGCTTCTTCAGATGAACGTAAGCTAATTTCTTAGCTGCCTAACTCTCCACTCCCCCTCCCCTTCTTTCCCCAGCGCCTTTTTTTTTGAACTTCTGGCTCTACTGATATAATTACACGAAAAATAACGCATGCCTATGCTATACATCTGCAATTGTCAACTTCCTCACCTCACATTTCGGCGGGAGTGTTCGCTTATTTCTAGCCATATGGTAGCGACTTCTTGACGATAGTACAGCTTCAGGAGCAGGTGCAGCTTGAGCTGAATCTATTGAGCCACCATTGTAAAATATGGTTGAGGCAGAAAGGGTCCTTGACACTGGTGCTTTTGTAACAGCCGAGACTCGCTGAAATTAGGGTATTTACCCCCTGGTTTACTCATTTTGCTGTTAATTTATGATTTTCTGTGTTTCAAATGGGAAAGCAGGGTCAATCATTTCTTCGAGAATCACGAAGTGAACTTTTTAAAAGATTTTTCTGATACTCACATTCTTAGAAGATTCTCCGCTGGGTCCCGGAGTTGCAGACATGTGGCAAGTACACTTCGGCTGCGGATCGGGCACTCCAAATAACTTGTATCGTGAAGAGTCCGAAACCAAGGAGGTCTAAAAATTCGAGGGGTATTTTTGAATTCGACAAAAACATGTTGTCCCACGCACCTTGCTAGCTCCCAAAAGGCGAGATGCTGATAGACTTCGTCTTCGATTTTGCTCGCTTATTTGCTTGTCCACACTTTTTCGCCTCTTCTCCAAATATTTCGGAACACGTTTGTGGTTTTTCATCGACACTGAAAGACCGTAACCTAAGTGGGTAGTTGGTGGGAAACAACTATCTTCCCACCTTCAGCAAATTCAGGCCTACCGAAGGCTACTCTTTGCGTATTGTCCATGCTTAGCATCAGTTGCTTCGTCTTTTCAGGTATCTCGATCCCATAATGATCCAGCATCATTCGCTTCAATTCGGTCATCCATGTTCTTTTTTGGTCAGCAGACGATGCCTGAAAATTGAAAGAATAAATAAGTAGGAGACAAGTATGAGATAAAAGGCAGGATTACATACCAAAAAGATGTAATGGGTGCGAGGATTGTCAAAGGAAAGCACTTGGAAAGCTAGAGGTTCTTCTGGACAGATAGATTCGTTCAGCATCAGGTTGGAAGACTATAATACAGTTATATAGGAAGCAACGTAGATAACATTCTTTGAAATGATTTCCGATTTGATGTCATAGTCAACATGCAGTAAAAGAAAACCGTTTCCTCCTTCCTGTGCACTTCTTCATAACTATACTAACATTCTTCCAAAGTGTTATCCCATTCCTTAAAACTCTACTAACTCATTCCAGCTTTCCCATCCAAAGTATTCTTCAAACTTTTCTTCCCAGCAGCTATCGATTAATTTTGACTGCTTTGTACACAAACATAAGTCTCACCACATTTGAAACTTTGACGTAAGTCTCTATAAAATTCAAGCTAGTGAAAAAGAAAAACTCACCATAATATAATCTTTGCATACATAGCTGGAATTTCTTTGCTTCACAATCAACAGCATCTCTTCGAATAAGAACAACAATCTGATAGTTTTAGAGCCAGCTTGTCGAAACTGCGCTTCTAGCAACAGTTCACCGTATGCTGATAGATTTGCGTTCTGCTGGAAAAAGAGCGTTTGTCTGAGTTAGTAGTCCATCAGCAATATCAAATTTCCCATGACTTTCCAAGGTTTTCTTACTATTTTTTTTCAAATCATTACTCAAAGATATTAGCAGAATTACTGTCGAAAACACAAGCATTTGATGTAAGGGTCACAAATAAATTCCAGAACAAAGTAGAGGCGCTGATAGAGTAATAACAAGATAAGAACACATGTAAATTTACATCATTAAGAGCTTAGTTGGGAACCTGACCAAAGCCTACCTAATATCCATAAGTATGTAGGGTAAAAAGAGAACAGTAGTAAAGTTTTGGGGTTGTGAGATTCGTAAGGACTTCAAGTTATAGAATTCCAATTTAATTGATACAGTCCTCTTACTTCAAAATATGTACCAGGTCACATACCTTACTATGTTACTTCACAATAAGCAAAAACGAGAAAAACGAAAATGTACATGGTTTCCCACCTTGTCGACGGTCCATTTCTGAATAGCTGCCTGGAGTTGTTCAACTCGCTCAGCATGTTCGGCACGCTTCTTTTCATCATTAATTCGTGACGCTTGCGATGTCATCACCTCATGAGCACGCTTCACGACGGCAAAGTCGTCAGGTGGCAATGTGCTAGGTAAGTGCTTCAGCATGTTCTAAAAACCATTTATGAGTCGAAGGGCGCATAACGGGGCACCAAATGACTTCCTAGTGTCTGGCACTACTCAGAAGTTCACGGTAGGTTCGGACAAATCTGTGAGTAGTTGGGTTTCTCACAATTGGTGGAGACTGTTTGGGGATCATAGCTAAGCTACTGCTTAAACAGCAACTGATATGATTCATTCACGGTAAAGAAATTTTACGCTAAACGCTTGTTACCGTCTCTGTGTACGGTATGGGTAAGATCATGAGATTTTTTAGAATCTCATGGACTACCTTCAGCAATGCTCAAAAACAAATGATGTTACTCTTCAAATGGGTTTGTGATGACACCACCTGAGTTTGAGCAATTTTGGGTACCTAGCTATAAGCATTACTCATGATCAGCCTTTTCGTGTGCACATTTACTGGGAAGAATCAGAAAAGCCAATGCTCAGGTCTGTAAGATTCGCAGTGTGACCCCAACCAGCTTGCCCAATACCGTATTTGGGCACGACAATCAGATTTCAATACGGTATTGGCAAGCGTTCAAAGTCAAATATCTCGGCCACGAATGAATCATACGATCTGCCGCTTAGGCAATGGCTAAGCTAAAGCCCTTAGATATGCGTATAAGAAGCCCAGAAACCCAAATTTTCTTGGAGGAACACTGCCCAAAAAACACCTACCTCAATAAAGAGATGATATTTTAGCACTCTTTGGACGGGTTTGAGAAGATATGCGCTCAAAGGTAGGGCATGACCGAGTGCAGCTTGACGCTGCGCTAGGGCAGCAGCTAGATGGGGTTGCTGCTGCAGTTGTGTGAGGGTTGCGATCATCCTAAAAAAATTGATTTTACATGGCGAAAATTCTGCTTCCCGTGACAATCCTCACCGGTGGTAGTTAGTGCAATAAACGATATAATCTTCAAATTTTCCAGCACTATCCACAAAACAGCGACTCATCTAAAGTGAGAATTTCTCTTGAACGAAAGCAACACAGCATAGATCTTAGCGACGATCAAGATCCAGACTTAAGAGCACTCTCTTACTTTGACACAGTCCAAATCGGCCGAATCCAGCTGCTGAAGTAGTTTTCGGTTGAACGCATAGATTCGTTCAATACAACCGAATAGCGACGAGATATTGTCCAGCGTTACTCCTAATTCATCGCGATGGTCGACGAGAAAGTTCAGATAGCCCTAGAGAAGATTCAAAATAAACAACGGGGTACGCTTCTAGTCGAGCGAATGCTCTGGAGTCACGAGAGCTCTTGAAGCATTCTGATGTTCTCTGCTTATATGTTACAGTAGGGTCCATAAATCTTGCCACAGAATTTTAGTAAACGTAGTTTTCTCCATTCAACAATTCATCGAATTCGGTATACTACAAAGCAAAACAAATCATACTTTCCATTATTTTCGAATAGAAATTCAGCATCAACTTGGGTTTGCATATCAGGGACTCCACATGATGATAAAGAGAAATTCTCGAATCGTTAGAGAAATGCTAAAAGATCCAGTAAATCTGTTTCTTACTATGGTTCAAAGAAATATTCCTTATGAGTAAGTATTAGTGCTATTTGGAATGGTTTCTTGATTTTATCTGTATTTTGTTTTATATAGAATTCCCAATAAATATCTATAGAACATCTGACATAAGTTGCAAAAAAATATTTCACAAATTCAAAAATTTCTAAGCCTTTTTAAGAAATTTTTCGTACTTTTTAGTACAGAACTGAGTAGGATGAACTCAATATGAAAAAATGCAGGATTTATTTCATTTCTTTCCTTCCCATTTTTAAGTGTGATTACCTGGATCACAGCATAAAGATCCTCTACGTAGGTCTTTTCGGTGTCGAAAAGTTCGATAGCTATACGATCGACGTGCGAAATGGAGCCGGCTGCTAGCAGTGCAGATCTTCGAGATGAGGACAACGAAGACAACGATGAATGGCTGAAAAAAAAAGCATTTCAAATATCCAAAATCAATATCGGGGTTCAATTCCATAAGAAGCATAGAATTTACCTAACAATGCCACTATCTCGATTGCTGCTGTGATCTTCTCCTCCATCAGAACTGCGAAGGGAGGAGCGCGCTGAGCTATATCCGGTCGACGATGAGACGAATGATAACCGTGCAGGGTCCTGCAAAAATTTGCAAAATTATCCACGAAACCGTAATAAGCCGATGGCTATGCAGATTAGCTTCTTCTTGATCCCCCCGCCCTCCCTCCATTAAGTTTATCACCTTCGTTTTACGCCAAAGCTACTTAACCAAAGCCTCTGAAGCCCGTTTGCTTCTGCTATTCAGAATTATACTCTAACATCGTAGCCAAGTAGTTGCAAAGCACATCCATTAGTCAACTACCGGTTCTGCAGGGTTCCTGGAGCAAAAGTAAAAACATACGAATGCATAAAGCCTTGATAAAAAGGCACACTCCATCAGCAAGTTGAACTCGACTGCAACAATGAAGTGTAAGAAAGAAAAAGAAATAAGGTTCATTATTGGTTGGGCTGCTCTAAAACAAATGATTCTATTTTTTTGAATATAAAAATCGCAGTCGTTCAAGATAAAAATGTAGCCTAATTTAGCATCATACTATAGAGTTTGCAACGCCATCAGCACTTATGATGCTTAAAAAACCTTTCAAAAATTTGTAGCAGAGTCGATGTGTATTAGACGATTAAACCAAATAACCTTTTCCCTTCAATACAACAATTATGGAAGAATAGTTTGTTAAGCAACGATAGCTAGCTGTTAATGACCCGGGAAAAATGATCTGAAGAATCAAAAATATTGCATTTCCCTTTTAGTCAATAGAGATATGTGTGTACAAAAGGACTTTATGGCCACGATATTTCGATTGTTTTACGTCGAATGAAACCATTTTCCCACAATTTATTCCCCGCGCACAATCCTTCACTGTACTGAAAAAATTTGCGCTTACTATCGCTGGCTTATTGTCGTGCTTCGCCCATTACGACTATACTCACGACGCTTGTATTTTAGTGCATTTCAGTTTACTTTCCAAACAACGCGTACATTAAGATTTCACACAAGTTCTTTGACTAAGAGTGCAGCCGACATTTGATATTATAGCTCTCTTTTACTCACACACCATGAAAAAAATTTTTACCTCTTCAGAAAACCGCTGCGATGTCAACGACGTTGGCGGCATAGCATCAGAAGGTGGACAGCTGAAATGCTCACAATAAACGGTGAAATTACCGACAACACACAAAGGGATAATTTGCATTGAAGGGGGGGGCGGTCAGACGGTCGTTGAAAGCGCATAAAACGAGATTCGGCTGAGGCGCGAGACTTTGATAAAAACGGGCCACACAAGAAGAAATGAGGAACGAGGCAAGGACGCTACGAACAGTGAAGGGCTGAGTGTTCACTCTGGGACTGTCTCTTAAGTGGGCTTTGTGGGCCATGCGGGAATTAATAGGATAATCTGTGAGGGCCGGAAGAAATGGTGGATGAACGGGATGAATACAACGTTCGCAAAAAGAAGCAGATCCATGGACCTAAGGCAAGCGTATGCATGTAGTACAAAGAAAAATGGAAGAAGCAAAAGTTCCTATAGAAAAGATAATTTATATAGTACTAACGGAAATGTAAGCTAATAGTTTAAAACCTAGAGGCAACATTTCTTCCTTAAAACTTCTAGAAGAAATCTTTTGATTTTTGCAATCATAATATTTGGCGGGTGATGACAAATCCTAAGGGAGAATTAGATCAACATTAATGAAAGCCAGCGGCTTTTCTTAAGGCAAATGTTTTTGAAATCATCTGAGCATCCTCTGAAAAGCTTTTGGGTCTCTAAGAAAATAGAAGAAAAACTTCCAAGACCATAGAACCCTCAAAAAAATTTTATGCTCTTGAACAATATTTGAGCTCTATAAATAAAAGATAATATCAAGTAAGTGACTGCCAATGTATTGGAAATAATTTAAACAGTAATGCCGAGGGCTTCATGTTGACTTATCATATGTTATATCATATGACATATCATATGCACCGATTTTTGTTTCAAACTTTGTTTGATAACGTAAAAAAGGTTGGTCAAAGCTTCTTGAAGTTATCGGAGGATTCATAGTAATAAGATGTGCCAAAACCACTTTTTAATAATTTCAGCAACAAAAATTGACAAGGTCAAGTAAACATTCAATCAAGGAGAGGCACCTGTTATATGAACTTCGAGGTCAAGGTATGCGACATGCGAGTTACTTTTTCCCGCCTGTTCTTGTGAATCAAAACTCGCTTTCTTTTTTCTTACTTGAAGCATGTAAGTAACACTCTAAATCATAGCATAATGACACTGTCCATATAGTATACAAACTGGACGGCAAACCGGACGAGAGAATGAGATGCTATCTTTAGTGATGAGAAGCCATGTGGTAGAAGAAAACAATAGGCACCTGCAGCGCTAATAATGAAAGTTTTTGTTTAGTAAAGCTTCACTCTAGCTTCGACTTGCAATCAAGAAGATTAACAATTAGGTTTATGAGTTATTCTGGCGCTGATTCGTTAAAGTTTATTCAAAGAATAGATAGAAATCAAATCTTCCAATTTGCAGCTATGAATGCATAGGGTGAAGCAAAATATCACAAATGGATTCGTTGAAATTCTCCAGAACAAATGAAAGATGTTGAAATGATTATTTCTTTATTGAGCTCTTTTTTAGACTCTATCCAGCCATCAACTCTCAACATAAACAATTTTTCGCTTTCCGAAAAAAAAACATTGGGCGGAACAAGACTTCGCGTAAGGAGTAACCTCACAATGCAGCTGTTTGCTTTGAAAGGTGCAAATTCATTCAGACCATCAAGGAGAGAGGAAAAAAATTAATAAATGTCTTAAAACCCGTTCCAATTATTTTCAAGGTGAGCAGCGAGGGGAACATTACTGCTTTGATGACCACCGCATGTCACTCAAGCTAACTGGGGAAAAAAAGAGAAAAGAGGCTGGGCTTAGGTCGAAGCGATCATAGCCTAGTTTTCGTAGAAAGCTGTAACAATAGGTGATTCAAGGGTAATTTACGCAGGAAAATCCCGGATGAGGAACTTCAAATGAAACGTTCTAAATACACACGTAAATCCGAGCAAATTGTTACAATTGAGAAGACAATGACCGTAAAAGGGTGTGTGTGCGGCAAAGGCCGCAATCTGAGAAAAAAAAGCCAAATTAGGACGGATGTGCGCAGGTAGCGTTTTGCAAAGAAAATCTACACTTACAAAAGGTAACGATGGACGAAAAAAATCGTAGGCACCAAATTGCCGAGAACGAGAACGCACAAAGAAAAGGAGACTTTCACAAAAAATGTGCAAGTGATTTTTGAAAAAAGCGAGTTTCATGTCCGCACATGTTAGCTATAGTTTTAATTTTGTTGTTTTCCTGTGCCTTTCAAACAAGATGAAACTGGTCATACTCGAAGATAAAAACCTTGCAGAAGCGGTTCCAAATTTCAAAGATGACAGTGAAGAACGAACAAGCCTAGATTTTTATAAATATCAAAGTTCCCTTGAAAGCTAACATTATCATCTTCACAGAATTAACGAACAAATTTTAAAGTGCATAGAAACTGTCTCGGCTCATTTCTCACCATCCAGACTTTTTTAAATGCATAGTGAAAAACTCTCAACAAATCTTATATGCAGCATAGTTCCAGTCGAAAACGACTTTTCCTAGCAATATCAATGATAAGCTCGGGAAGGAGAAAGTTTACAATATGTTGTTACTACGAAATGTTGTAGACATGCCCGCCTACGGGGAAGTCCGCCAGAATTTTAGATTTATGATTTGGAGATGATATTTTCACTAGACCACGAGAGTATAGGGTTTGTTGTAAATCAGTAAATATCCGCTAAAGCTCTTATGAATGATTTGAAAAATCAAAGAAGACGAGAATAATTGCACGAAAAACCTGAAGAAATTGCTAAGCCAAAAACCAAATTCAAAAAAAATCTACAAAACCTGGAAAGTGCCCATCATTTTGTGTGCCAATGGAAAAGCTTTTCAAAAGCTTTCAACTGAGCACGAAAGGCCCCTGAACTTACGCGCGTACATATTATTATAGCTGAATATCTATGCTTTCCAAGTAGCCTTATCTAAAAGATTTGAATTGCTATACAAAAAGATTATGCCAGGCGGCCAGAGAAGCTTACGGTAGATAGTAACCGCTATCGCCCAGACAAGATCATCGCAGGTACTTTAACCTATGTACTTTCACAAAGAACAGTGTCACGATCACTCGAGACAAGAAGCCTTGGCTCATCACCTTTGGCTGCGGCGAAACACGCAAGAGTGAAGAGTCTCGTCAACGAGGTGTTAACAACTAAGCAAACACAGGGGCTGCCACTCCGGTCGTCGGCTTCCGCAAACCACAAACGAGCTCTCACGTGAGCCCTAATGCCATCATGCCACTACAATAGCCATAAGTCTAACAAATCGTCTTTCGAAACCCGGAGTTTAAACAAGAGAACCTCAGGATGTACGAGCAAGCATTACTGCTGAGAAAAAGGCGTGCGAAAAGTATAGTTTTTACATTGAAAGTGCCACTCCGCTAAGTAAACATAGGAGAAGGGGCTAGGATCAAAAGCTTCATTGAAAAAGTCTGCACTGGTGGAAAATAAATAGTACGATGCACGATGGTGTTACATGATGGGAAAAACACTCTTAGAGACTGATTTACTTTCTAGACGGCCCCAGCAATAAATCTATGCTAAACTTGCTTTACGCTACAACTTTAGACTGAAGGAAATAAGCCGAGGCTCAGCGAAAAAAGGGATCCCCACTATTCCAAAAATTCATGAATTTATGTTGCATTATACATACACTTGGTATGAAAGAATTCTCATTTTTATTCGTGACAAAATGCCATTCCTTCTGATAAAGAGAATACCCAATAAGACCTTCGAAGGAGTGATGATGTAAGGAAGCTACTCTGAACTAACCAGTAAAATTGCAAACAAAAAAGATAGACGGGAGATCTGCTTCAGCAAGGATTGATTATATGCTCTTTAGAACTATAAGAGAACTCGATATTATGAAACGATGAAGTGAATTCCTAGTAGCCTGATGTACAAATATGAACTTTCATTTTTGGAAACGATTGTTGAAACAGATGATAGTCATGACTGTACGAAAACGATGACGTATTGTAAGAACCTATTTCTGGAGATAGAGAAGCGCTGTATTATTTACTCAAAGCAATGAACATAAGAATAAAGTGCATTATTTGAAACGAAATGATTATCTCTTCAACTTTGGAAAAGCTTCACTTTAGGAAATAAAAACTCATAAGACGTTGGTTGCTAGACTGCGACGTTTCGTTAAGAAGAAACCGAGAAAATATGCCCATTAATGGAACTGTAATATAAGCAAGTCAAACAATAATGGAACTGAGAAGAGAATAAGCAGGAAGTCAATTGAAAAGGCAAAAATTAGGCAAAATTGCTGAAGTAGAGGATGCCCCTTTCTTGCGAACAATTACTCCACAGCCCTACGTCAAAAACTTTTGAGGCCGCACAATTTTTCGTTAGGCATCAAATAAAACTAAGACTGAGCAAAAAATCTAGTTGGCCTAGTTCGATAAACATTCTCGAGAGAAGTAAGCTATTTTCTAGAACAACGCACGATTCAAAGGATTACGGCAATTCAGGATCAAAGTCGACTTTCATTGCTGAAGTATGTGGAGCGACAGCTGCGAGAGCGCAGTGCTAATGTGGGCAATCATGACCAGTCGAGCAGAGGAGATTCGTAAAGATTTGACGTCTAGGCCTATATGGACCACTTTCAGTCACTTTAAAAAGCCCAAGAAGAGATTTCTAAACTTTTGTAGGCCTGAACCATCTTTCAGAATAAAAGCTGGCTCAGGGATATGAATGAGCATTGATTATCACCGCAACAGAATTGAGCTTCTAGCCCTCGTGAAAAAATGGAGTGTGAAACATTTTTCAGAGTCCCAGATTATCTAATTCTAGATTGTCAACAGTGCGTTGAAGTAGTCGATATATCCTAAAAATTACTCTAAAAAAATTTATACAATTTTGACGGTTTTAGTCGCGATAAAACGTAGTGACAGAAAAGATTGCAGATTCTATTACAATCCGACTTTTTTTTTCAAAAGTTAAGACTGCAACAACCAGTTTGAAACGAGTTGCTCCACTAAACTCTACTCTTTGCAGCGATA